AGGGTGCCTGAGAAGTGACCAAGATGGTGGCAGTCAGGGAAGGCCTCCCCGAAAAAGTGATGTCTAAGCTGACCTTGGAAAAGGCCCATGGAAATGTCTGGGCTGGGGACATAGGGGCAGCACTGCTCGGTAACCAGCCCTCAGGCAGATGGCTGAGCTGCCCAGAGCTACCTGGTGTAAGAGGGGGTCATAATTCCCACCTGGGGGTTGGTGTAAGAACCAGGTGAGGCCAGTAAGCAGCTTTTTTCTCTCTTTACCAGGAGCCCGCAGCGGCTGCCTCCCTTCCCCCAGCCCCTGCAAGTGGAACAATTACCAGATTGCATCGGGCGGGGCCCTGGGAGCCTGGCCAGCTCCCTACTGCCTCTGCGAGTCGGTGCCTCTCATTACCACAATCTCTTGATCCCCAATCCCTGGGCTCTGAGTGGTGGCCAGATGGCTTAGGAGGCAGTTGCAGGCCTCTAGGCTCCTGGAGCTCTTCTCTGGGACCCTCATGGGCCTTGAGGGCTCCCAGGAGCACCCACCAAGATTGGAGTAGGATAAAAAAAAAGGTTACCTATTGTTCCCCACTCCCACCATAAATCACAGAGCCAGGAGGAACATTTGAGGTCATCTTTATGGGACCTCCCACTCTATCTGGGTTTAGCATACCAAGGTGGTCATCTAGGCTCCACTTGGACATCTCCCAATATGGGGAGCTCCCCACCACAAACACTGGGGCCACAGCCATGGGCGAATCAAGAACTCTGATAATTCAACTAAAAAGGTTGGATCATTACAGTCATGGTCAGTCCAAACCAGAACATGGGGGTGGGGGTGTTAAACCAGGTCTGTACCGCCAAGAAGCCTTGTGGAAGATAGGAAACCTCCCAGGGTTCTGAATCTGAAATCCCTGTTCTAGTTTTGACTCTAGAACTTACTAGCCTGGTCCATTTGCCTTCACCTTCCAGAGGTCTGTTTTCCTTATCTGTGACTCACTCAGACCTGGGCGTCCACTACAACAGACACTAGGCAGAAGCAGCTAATGAGCAATTGAAACGCTGTGAGTGCAATCAAGGAGCTAAATCCTAAATTTTAAAAAATTAATTTTAATTAAATATAAAACATGAGCAATGTAAAAATTTTACATGGACTATGCTTTGAAGAGGGAATATTTCAGTTCAAGTATTATTAAAATTAATTTTGCAAAAAATGCATTTTACCTGTTCCTTTTTATTTTTTCAACGTGACTATTAGAACATTTTAAATGACTACTTTGGCTGGCTGGAACATTTTAAATGACTGCTTTGGCTGGCTTTATGACTCTATAGGGCAGCACTGATTTAGCAAGTTATTTAAGGATTGAATGAGGTAGATTAGATGTTCAGGGCTAGAGGAACAGCAAATCTTAAAGCAAATTGTGGTTTATGCCTCTGCCAGGTGCTCATGTGTTCTGTAGCACATAAAAGATGCTCATTCTAGAGATTCTAGAAAACATGGACAAAAATGAAAAACAAAATACAAATTACCTGTGAGCCCACCACCCAAAGAAAATTACTATTAACTTTTCTTTCTAGAGTTTGTGTGTATACATACATACCATGTCCATATGGCCTAAAGCGCCCCCAACCACCACTGTGTCCCAGCTTGTAGATTTCTTAGAAAAGTCACTTTAACAGATAACTCTTGGACCTTGAGGAGCCCTGCTCTGGAAAGAGCCTCCTAAAGGACACACTGAAGAATTTTCCACCTCCTTTCTTGTTACTGTGATTTCCAGGAGTGGCATGGGTCACACATTGGGATCAGTGCCCCCCCTAGTACTTCTCCCTGCTCTTGGCTGCTGCCATTGCCTGCGGCCACCCTGGCACCACCTGCACCTGCCTGGGGAGCAACCTCTGGGTCAGCTCTTGCCAGCAGCTCCCACTCCCCTGGTCCCATTTCTGCTCCCCCTCCCTTCGGGAAGTAGGAAAGCCTTTCCCTTTTGGGGGTGGAGAGAGGGAGGTTCCAAAGAAGAACTGCTTGGGTCCCAGGAAATGGAATTCCTTCCATTTTCTGCAGCAGCCCTCTTTCTCCTTTACAGAGGAATGAGGGACCCACAGGGCTGGGGGTGGAGGTCCTGTTCTGTCCAGAGCCTGTAATTCCTGCCTCCCATAGCTGCTTGTCTCTGAGCTGGCACCATCCCTGTGTAGAGCTGTTTTTTCCTTCAGGGCTCTTTACCCCTTTCTGAAATCTGGATTTTATCTGTACCCCTCTACCGCACAATCCCTCAATCATGTCTCTCTATATTCTGCCCAGTAAGCTGGAGAGGGCTCACTTACCTCTAGGGCTTCCTGCAGGGCTATAACAAGTTGGTAAATTGCTTTTCTCCGTTGCATTAGATTAGGAGCATCTTCTCAGTGATACCATTCATTGTAAAGGCTGCTTAGAACTCTGGCACACGGACTTGCTGTACCTTTTGATCTAAGGTCTTTGCCCTTAAAGGGACCACTCCGGTACCCTCCAGGTACACTTTCCTCTGATATTCTCAAATGTAAGGAGTGTTTAGTTCTCCTCCTCAAACATCCAGCAAATTCTGCTAGATGAATTATGCTGAAGTGCTGCCAGGCCCTTGCTCCCCACTCTGTGCACCACCTTGGTGGCTCTCAGTGCCCCCTGTCTGACGTTCAAGGCCACCCACTCCTGCATTCAGTTGGTCTTTTCTGTCCCATCACCATACTTCAAATATGACCTGAACTCTGTCCACACTGAACAGCACAGTGGCCCCACACTTTCAGCCTCCCCGTTACCTTCTGTTATCCCCTTCCCTGGCACATCTGCCCCACCTTCAACTCTTTCTTATCTTCTAAGAATCTCCTCCAAGAAGCCCTAGCTGGAGTTAACCCTCATCCCCTAGAGAGATAGATAGTCCTTCTTGTCTCTTTCCTTGCCATACTGATGTATCCATCGTGTCCTGTGGTTATTTCACGTCCCCTTCTGTCCCAGATTTTTGTCTCCATCCCTACTCACTGCAGGAGTAGAAGCTCCCTAAAGTCAGGAACGGGTGCTGACTTCTCTCTGTGGGCACAGGGCACGACACAGAGTGGGCACAAATTTTAAAAAGACAGGTATGGATTTGGGGCTCGAGTTCTGATCCAGTTGGTCTGATCCTTCTCTCAAGGCCACAGCTTCCCTGAAAACTGAGGTGGTTGGACTTGACTGTGGTGTTCTGTTGGGAGAGAGGACTGCTTGGTTTGGGGTCAATGTGCTGGCTCTGGCCTGGGGTAATCTCTTGGATAATGATTACAGCAGCCCTGCTCCTCCAGCTACACAATCCCATTATGAGCCCTTCAGGATTTATGTCTGAGCCCCACCCTAAGCCCATCACTAACATATGGCATCCTGGCAAAGGAAGATGACAGCAATTCTAAACATTGACTCATTCATTCAATCACTCATTCATTAAGCAACAAGCTACTGGACCAGGCTGGGGCTGGCTCTGGGTGGACTCAGTGGATACCAACCTGGCCTGGAAGGTGCTTCTAGAAAACAGTCAGTAATTCAGTGAGGTGGGGACTGTGGGAGCTCAGATAAGGGGTTCCTTTCAGCAGGGGATCAGGAAAGGCTTCCGGGAGGAGGGACCCTTGCCTCTTTTGTTTCCGCCCCGCCAAACTTTTCCAGTTTATTCTTGTTTGAACATTTAGACAGTTTATTGACTGCTAGAATAGCCTAGAAAGATCTTATAATTATGTTAAGAAAACTAATAACAACTACTTCTTTTTCTCCACATTTTGTACTGGCGCATTCCAGTTGTACATAATGGTGGGATTGTTGTCACATATTAGTCCATGCACACGCCCTGTGTCTTCATATGGCAGGCCAGCCATGTGGCAGTGAGCAGGACAGCAGGGCTCAGGCCAGGGAATGGGCCTGTTGTCCTAGCCTTGGCCTGGCACTGGATGCTGCTGTGTGTGTAGTCTGATAAGAAGAGCGTGGATGGATGGGGAGGGATTATCTGCTCTTGTTTACATGATTAAAACCAGACAAATATTTCCTTTATCTGAGAGAATGAAAGGGCTTTGGGGAAAAAATCCTTTTGGCAGCAAAACAAAGCACAAGCATTTCCTTAATTAATCTCTGTCCCTCCCCCTCCCCACCCTCTCCACACCCCTGCACCAGCCACAGACTCTCTGGGTCTGACCTGCACTAGTGGACAGAGGGGTCAGATGGGGGTGGTCAGCAATGGGGAAGAACTGAGCGGCGAGCGATCCGCAAGTGCCCTCCACACGGCCTCCCACGAGGGAGATCTGGTCTAGGCACCAACCCACGATGGCCCAGACTGGCTCTTCTCTGAGAGGGGGACCACTCTTGTTCTCATTTTGGAGATGGGACTCCTGAGGCCCCCACATGGAAGGATGACTTGCTTCCAGAGGTCACGTAACACGTTGGCAGGACTCTAGCTAGGCCCAGGTCACCGACTTCTCACCAGTGGGCTCACTGGCTTCTCACTCATTGATTCACTCAGCAAAGCTGAGACTTGGCTAGTGCTGGGGACTGGGGTCTCACAGATAATAGACCTGTCCCTCTCATATCACTCAATCCAGAGACAGAGACAAGTCAACAGACGGTGATAACCAGGGTCGTGATAGAGGAGGCTGGGGGGTTGGGAGAGCCCCAGAATGGGCTCCTAACTGTGGGAGACAGGCAGGTAGTCTAAAAAGACTTTGCTGAAGAGATGACACTGAGCCTGGTGGGTAGGAGTTAGGCTAGAGAAGCTTCTGAGAAGAAGGGTACAACACCAAGGGAACAGCACCGGCAAAGGTGTGAACAGCTGGGCTGGTGACCCTGGGTGTCAAGAGGAGAGCAGAATGGAAAGAGGTTAGCAGGAGCCACAGGACTGTATTACTGAGAAGAGGGTTCCCTGGAGCATGCGGGGTGGTTGGGAGCAGAGGGCTGAGCACGGCCAGGAGGGGGCTAGGGTGGTCACACCCGAGTGCCTGCCAGGGGGTGTGTGCCCCCCATAGACCTGACCTATCTCTTCCTCCCAGCTTGATGTCTGGCCTTGCCTCCTTGGATGCCAAGACCTCTAGCCGCCTGGGCATCCTCACCGTGGCATACTACCTATGGACCACCTTCTTGGCCGTTATCGTGGGCATCATCATGGTCTCCATCATCCACCCAGGTGGTGCAGCCCAGAAGGAGATAACAGAGCAGAGTGGGAAGCCTGTCATGAGCTCGGCGGACGCCCTGCTGGACCTCATCCGGTAACTTGCTACTGATGCCCTGCTTAGGAGTGCACACCCGGCCAGGGGTGTCCTGCATGGCCTCCACAGGGCAGGATAGGGTAGATGCTGGGGGGCTACTGGGAGCTGCTCTATTATGTGTGGTAACAAGAAGTAGGCATGGAGGTCCTGCCGAAGCCCTGAGCTCCTGGGACCCTGAAGTCAATGAGCTCTTGCTGCTACCTGCCCCATCAGTCCAGAAGCAGGAGGGCAGGACAGGCCTGCTCCCATGCCTGCTTTTTGGTCAGAGCAGGGTCAGTGAGCCCTTGCTGATTCCATAAGCAGCTGTGAGCACCTAACCTATGAGGTTGGAGGCCTGAAGGGATGGGTCTCCTCCTCTTCTAACAAAGAAAAGGTTCCCTTATCACAGATGAAGACATGTAGCTCCAAGAGGTGGTGTGACTTTTCCAGGGGTATCCAGCAGGTAGATTGTAGGACCAGGATTCCAGCCAGTCCTGTCTAACTCCCAGGATGTTGCTCTTGGCCTCCATTATGGTGCTGCATCAGCTCTGCTGACCATGTGCCATGGACCTGAGCCCTTGTCCCCAGGAAAATACTGCAGACTCAGCCATAGAGCCACAAGGGACACCTCCCCACAGACTCCCTGCAGGCAGCACCTCTCCTGGCCCTCACCCTGCCTTCTAGGAGAGAAAGATACAGAAATAGGTAGAGACTATATCAGGGATGGGTGCTGTGATGGGGCAGGAGCAAAAAGAAGTCTAAAGAAGGGGATGGGGAGGTGGTGGAGGGCAGGGAGGTGGGTGGAGGGCAGTGGTGGATGCAGGTCCAGAGATGGGAGGGAATGGTGTGGGAGGGAGGGCCCGCAGCCATCCAGCCTGACTGCAGCATTTATGTGAGGAGAGACATGGAAGGTGTTGCTGGGCAATTGGGTGGAGGCCCGTAAGGGTCCCAGGAAATTGGTTTTAAGCAGAGGAGTGGCATGATCCAATTCAGAAGGCTTTGGCTGTGAGAGTGGCTCTGGGTGGGAGCAGGGGTAGGGTGGGAGGAGAAGGCAGATCCAGGGACTGGCGGCCATGGTTTTGGGGGTGGGATGGGGACTGTGCAGCAGCTCAGGGGGTAGCATCAGCAAGGGGAAGAAGAAATGGAAGTGAGGCTGGAGGAGGTGGATGGCGCTGACATGCATGTTTCTGGCCTGATAATCCAAGTGGACAGCAGTGTGGACACCAAGACACAGGAGGTACCAGTGCAGGGACAGACCTCCCAGGGTAGATGCCAGCTGGTGTTTGCCCAATGGATCTCAATCTTATGGGAGAGAGTGAGCTTGAGATGGAGATTTGGAAAGTACCAGAGTAGAAGCAGTAGGTGGCCCTGATGGTGTCTATCCCAGGACCATGTGAGTGTGGACGAGGGACTAGATGGTGCCTGCAGAAGCACACACACCTGGGAATGGCCTGGTGGACTTGACCTGCTACCCCGTTAAACTTGCCCTGTGGAGTCCTCCTTGTCCCTCTCATTTTCCAGCCAATTTAGGATATAAGGAGTCTCGGCCTGTCTAATATTAAAACTCCAGACTCATTCAATTTAAAACTAATCCTGTCCTAGCCTTGAGGATCTGATCAAGCTCAGGAAGCTGCAGTGGGAAGGGGATCGCCAGTGTTTCTCTTCTTCTGTCTGCTCCTCTGCTGCCAGCACTGGGGTTGGAGCAGCAAGGAGAGAGGGGAGGCTGGGGGCACTGCAAGATCCTCCCTTACAGGGATGAGTATGCTGCAGTGGGGCTCCCTGGTTGAGATTCTTTAGGGATAATTTTGTGGGTTCATTTGATCTACATCTTTATATCTCTTCCATCTGTCTGCTTCAAGCACCCTCCTCAGGCCTGATCTCTGGTTAATCTCAGCTTTTCCCTCTGCTGTGGTCAACTCACCCCTCTAGGTGATGCTCTTGGGCAGAGTCCCTTCTGTGACTGGCCCATGGGAAAGAATACATATTCTTGTTAGAAGTGCAGGTCTTTCCCAGGGCCTTTGGACATGAGTCAGGCACCAGCCCCTACATTCCTCAAACCCTGGGGAACATGAGCCAAGATCTCTGAATAGTTCTCCTGACTTCAGTTTAGGGAGAAGCATTCCTCTCATCCCCCATGGGGATACATGCCTAGCACAGCTTCTCTCCCCCTCTTTAAAAAAAACTCTCACCCTCTGTGTCAGTCAGTTACTGCTGTGTAACAAACTACCTAAGATTTTTGTGTTTGAAATGACCACCAGGAGTCTACAGTCAGCTGGGAGGATCTGCTGATTTGGCTGAGCTCAGTCATGGCCTGCAGGAGGCCAATGGCCCCACTGTGGAATGGATGGCTTGGCTGACATGGCTCAGCAGGGCTGTGTGTGGTCTTTACTCTGGCAGGCCAGTCCAGCTTCATTCAGGGTGGCAACAGGATTCTAGGAGAGAGCTTGTCTGGGCATCCTTTTATGCTGAAGGTAGAGAAGAAAGAGAGGAAATAGAAGCTTGTGAGTATGTTTTCAAGTCTCTTCTTTTGGCAAGTCTACGAGCATCCTCTTGGCCAAAGAAAATCACACGGCCAAGCCCAGACTCAGAGTGGGAGAGGCAACTCTCCCTCCTTCCCCTGACCCTGGCCACACTGGCCTCGGCTGTTCCTCCATGTCAAGTGTGCTCCTGTCTTGGTGACATTGGTGCCTCTCTGAATGGCCTTGATGGGGGAGCACATGGCCCCTTCGCTCACTCTGTCGATGTCTCTGCTCAGTATCACCTTCAGAAGGTCCTCATGGTCCCTTCCCCACCCCATTCTCTCTCTCCCTCCCTTATCTTGGCTTCTTGTCACAGCCTTCATGACTACAGACACTATCACATGCATGAACTTCTTTATTTCTTCTTCTGTGGCCTCCACTGGAATAAACAATTATATGCCCCTTGTAGCCAGATCTCTACATATCTGTTCCCTGCTCTTTCATGGAGCCTGGAACAGCACAGAGCAGGTATTAGGTGTCTGCTGAATGCATACATGGGACACAGAGTCTTCAGTGGAGTTGGGGTCTGAAGCCATGGGAGGAGCTGGAATCACCCAGGAGAAACACCCTGTGTGCCAGCCACAGAGGCTCAGGACTAGCCTTGGTGCACAGCCATGCTGGAGGCTGTGGGAGCAAATGGAACACAAGTGGGGACAGGAGGAGATCGAGTGTCCTGGCAGCCAAGGCAGAAAGAATTTGGAGAAGCCTCATTTCTAAGATCATTATTTCTAGGATCTGGTGCCTATGACTCATCATTTCTTGGATTCTATGATTCCAAACAGCTTTTCCACGTGGTAGAAGAAGTGGTGGGTGCTGGAGCAGACCTCTCCCCCCCTCCCCCTGCATAGCCTACCCTGATCAGGGGCTGCAGAGCTTTGGATCAGACACACATGTCAAAGTCAAATGTTCCAGAGCTGCTTCTCACATGGTGAAAACTGATCTTTCTGCTTTGAGGCTTTTGCAAAACTGGGTGGTTGGGCATCACTGTCACTATTTCTTGGTCAGAGAGTGGGGCTGCGGGGAGGGGGTCACATGCTTTCTGGGGTGGAGTACCAGAACCTGAGAGACCTGCGGTCTCATCTCAGCATTGCCAGCAATAAGCCACTGTGTGACCCTGACCAGGCCAGGCCCTCTCTCCACAGTTCAGTTCCCAGTGATTCTCACGATGCCTCCGGTTCTGTGGTTCTACGAACCAAGGCCCACGAGCCAGTGAACACGCTGCAGAGAATGAGCTGAAGCTTCTGGAAGCAGATTCTAGAGCAACAGGACAGCCCAACCTCCTGGACCTTGCATGTCCCCAGGGTGCAGTTAGCTGTTTGGCCTTAGAAAGGGAAGCTGGGGCTAGAGGGCAGCTCCGTGGTAGAGGGCCTGCCTAGCATTCTTGACACCCTGGGTTTGATCCCCAGCACAGCAAAATAAATTAAAAAGAGAGGGAGGAGAAGCTGGTGAGGTTGGGAAGAATGAGCTGGAGAAGGAAGGAGTGGACAGAATTTGGTGTAGGGATGCCCAGGGAGCAGGTGTGTTCACTTACACCAAAAGCAGCCCACCTTTACTAAGAACCGGCTCTGAGAAAAGGCATCGTAATAGGAACTGGGTGCGGGGCAGTAAATACAAGGCTCTACAATAGGACTGTCCCCCATCTATAGATAAGAAGGGTATGAGGGATGCCACTGTCATCCTCTGAGAGGATGTGAGGACAATGGGGACACTGGCACTGAAGGTAGTTGGGGTCTCCTTCCCTTTGCTCTGGTCCAGAGCAGGTGCCTGCAAATGTTTTTGACTGAACAAGAAAATGTATAACTGGGACAGGAAACTGGGATGTGGGGGCATATATGACAAATGAAAAGCCAGAAAGATGCAGGGGCTGACTACACAGGGGAAAAGAAGCCACACAGCTCACCTCCAGGGGTGCAAAGATTTGTGTCCATGTGTCAAGATGATTCCAGAGGAATGCAACAGGCTGTGTCCCTGGATGACCTGCCAAGTCATGAATTCATTTCCCAAGGCTCCAAGTGGGGGCTCCAGAAAACTGACGTCTGATCCCTGTGCAGCCTCACAGAAAAAACCCACGCGGAACACTAATCAGGGTTGGCCCCTTATTCTTTCTTTTTCTTATTTTTTTTTCTCCCCCCCCCAATCTTATTAAAACACCACAGAGGTTGAGTAATGACTTGGCTCTATAGCTCCTAGTTACCATCTCAGGAACTGGACAAAACTCTCAGAAGCTGTGTTTGAAAAGAAATAATCTCCACCTTTGGGGCCTGGATTGGAGACAAGTGACTAGGGGCTAGTTTGAAACTGTCACAGTGAGAACTCAAATAATAAATGAGGACAAAGTCTGGAGATGGACCTTGGCCCTGCCCACAGAAATGCACAGGGAGTGTGTGGGTATTTGTAGGCATGGCAATTGTCTCCAGGCACATTGTAGCTGCCACCAGAAGCACAGGCCTCACCAGACATGCAGGAACGACTCCCATGGATATTCAAAGCCAAAAGAAAATGTTCTACATTTCCCCAAATAATAATCCAAAGCAAAATTCTTGATTAAATCTGCAGTTCCCTGATGTTAGTATGAGCAAACATGTCAGTCAGGAACTGCTCCTGGCTGCTAGTTAAGAGAAACCTGCAACAGCAGAGGTTAGGCGATTGATTCCGAGGGGCGGGGGGGGGGGGGCGGGATAAAGCCCTGCATTTTCTCCTAAATGAGTGGTCCAGAGGCAGGCAACTCTCACGCATCAGGATCTCATGCTTGGTCATCTGTGTGTACTGCCATGCTTAGCATTTGGCTTTCATCATCAGTGTGATGATGACGTTGTGCTGACGTTAAAGGAAGGTTCAAAGGAATGTACATACCAGGTACAAATTCCATTTGGTTTTTCCTGATCTTTCACATGTTCTTTAGTTTCTGCTCAAGCTAAAAGCAGACTTCCCTTCAAATTTCATTAGAAAACAACCTCTGATTAAGTCACTTGAATCTCCTGGAGCTAAACCTGGGAGAGATTTTCAAACTATTGATGCCCAGATGCCCAGGACAGGTGGACCATGTACCCCAGCAGGTTGTACATGCATGTTCCTGGCACAAATGCAGGTACTGTGCTTCTGGTCTGCTTGATGTCAGAAAGATTTTTGCGGGCTGCTCCCATACTGGTGGCAGAGATCTGCTTATCTCTCATGGGAAAAAAAAAAATTCTTCAAACCTCTGAGATCCCAGTTCCTGACCTTTGCTTCTTCTCTCCCTTGTGACAAAGCTGAAACTCCTGGGGAATGGGTAAATGATGGTTGGGTCACAACATACCCATGACTAGCCTTCTGCTTTGCTAGCTCCTTCTGACCCTCTTCCTCTGGCCAATATGTACACTGAACCAGAGTCTTGGCAGCAGTGAAAACATGACAGTGTCTGCCTCCAGCGGTGGCTGCTTGGGAGTAGGGTTTAGAAAGCGTGCACACTCACGTCCACGTGTCTAACTCCAGGCATGTGTGAACTGAGTCTTGAGAGAGAAGAGATTTGCCAAGAACAAAAGTGAGTGGGAGGGTGATCTAGGAGGAGAGCAGTGTGAGTGTGTTGCACATGGACTGTTCCAGCATGTACAAGCTGGAACAAGAGTCTTTTTAGCATCTCTGATTTCAAATCGATTCCTAGAAGGGGAATTCCTATAAAGACAAGGATATAAACTCTTTTAAGACTCTGGACATGAATTGCTAAACTGCTTTGGGAAAGAAAAGGTCACTCCCAGATCCACCTGAGGGTGCCCATCTCCCCAGCATGTGGACTTCATTTTTAAAAACACATGGTCATTTTCATAGATGGAAATGTCTTTCATGCATTGATAAAGCCAAACATTTTTTAAAAGTGTTTTTGCCCATGTGCATCTCTTTTGGAAAGTAAATTGCCTGGGCCTATCTTCCAATCATTTGCCTGTGGAGGCATTACTGTTTTGGGGGTCCTTTTGTTTGTTTGTCTATGCAGCAAATAGTTGCTGAGTCCCTGATGTGTGCCAGGCCCTCTTCCACATCTTGGGGACACCACCAGAATCAAAACAGAGGTCTCTGCCCTCCAGGGAGCTGGTACTCTGGTGAGAGGAGACTGACTGGGAGCACAGGAATAAGGGCAAGATTTGTGAACCTTTTAAATAACGCTTGGTCATCTAGTCTCCTTAGTTGGTCATTTGCCTTATAATCTCATTTGTATTGTAATCCTTCTTATAGACCTGCTTTTTTTTTTTTTAGCTTTTCATTTTGTAAAAAAAAAAAAAAAAAAGATTGCAAAGAAAAGATCCCCTACCCCACCCTGGATGTTAGTTAGTGTCTTATATAAAAATGGTCCTTTAAAAAAAAGAAAGAAAGAAAGAAAGGTCCTTTAATCAAAACTAAGGAATTAAGTGAGTGCAACACCATTAACTAAGTTACAGATCTCATTTGGATTTCATCAGCTTCCATTAATGTCATTTGTTTTTTCTGTTCCAGGATGTAATCCAGGATACCAGAGTGCACTTAGGAATTTCTTATTTTTAGTGTAGTAAATTTTTTCCCCTCAATTGCTTCATTTGTTTTTAGAGAGTCCTTTCATAATCTGAGAGATGATAAAATATTAACTTTTGTTTCTTCTAACTATTTATTCATTAGTACTGGGGATTGAACACAGCAGTGTTGAGTTACATCCCTAGTCCTTTTTAATTTTTTATTTAAGATAAAGTCTTGGTTTCTTTCTTTCTTTCTTTTTCCAATTATGTATGTTTTGAAACCATCTGTAATTTATTTTGGTAAAAGGTGTTAAACAAGGATCTAACGTTTATTTTCCCAAATAGTTGGCCAGCTATGCAGCAATCCATGATGAGCCCTCCCATTCCTCACTGATTTGTGATGTGAAATGTGAAAGGTCCTGGGTTCTATTTCTGGGCTGAGGTTCTGCCATCTTTTTCCTTCCACTGATGGCTGTCTGTGTCACACGTGTTTTGACAGTTACTTCTTTAAAGCTGGCAGGACAAGACTGGCTTCATTTTAAGCTTTATAATAAAACATTAATGAAAACACAATCAACTCTATATCTATGAGTTCCATATCCACAGACTCAACCAACTGAAGGTCAAAACTATTTGGAGGAAAACTGCACTTGTGTCATTTCTCCCCCTTGTCATCATTCCCCAGACAATACAATAACTATTTACACCACATTTAAATCATATTAACTATTATAAGTAACCTAGAGATGCTTTATACAGGAGGATTGTGTAGGTTATAATACTACATCATTTTATACAAGGGACTTGAACAACCTCGGATTTTGACACATGTGGGGCGGTCCTGGGACCAATCCCTATCCCACGGGATGATGTGATTATCCCACGGTTGAGCCAGGTCCTCTGTCGGGCCCCACAGATAGGATGTGAACAACCGAGACTTGCCTTCAAAGAGAGGCAGACAGAGGTAGTGAGTCAGACAGGCCTGGGCAGAGGAAGTGGCGCTTGACTATGATTGATGGGAGCAGGAGTTGGTCAGGCAGAGAAGCAGGAGGCCATTCCAGGCAGAGGGAACGGCGTGAGCAAGGCCTGGGGCTGGAAAAGTGCAAAGGCCTGGTCAGGTTGCTGTGGGTGATGGCGGCAGGGCCGGCCGTGTGGGGAGAGGAGACTGCAGGGAGAGGGGCTGGCTCCTGGAGGACCTGGGCTGCCAAGGGAGGTTTGAGGTGACCCCAAGGTCCTGACCCCAAGGGCTCTCCAGACCTGGGCTCTGCAATTCTTCATTCGCTGACTCTCTTCCCAGGAACATGTTCCCAGCCAACCTGGTGGAAGCCACATTCAAACAGGTGAGCAAGTGGGTCCTTGGGTGATGGAGGGGGAGGCCCTACGAACCTCCCAGGCTCCTGAGGAGGCAGGATGCCAGAGGAGAGGTGGGGGGGACCTAGGTCCTCAGAGCCTCCATGTCTGTACCCCACGGAGAACAATTACTGGGTGGAGGGGAGCCTGGCTGAGTGCCTGTGAGGCCCTCGGTGCACACAGAGGCTCACACACCTCCTCACTGTCCTCACAGGAACCCACACTGAGGTCAGATCAGCCCCATTTTCTGGCTGAGGAGACTGAAGCTCAGAAGGATTTGATGATTTTGCCCAAAATTAGGCCACCAGTAGGTGAAAAGCTGCTGGACAGACTCAGGCTCGGCTGTCTGCTAAGTCTTTTGTTTTTTAAATATATATATTTTAGTTATACATGGACGCAACATCTTTATTTTGTTTATTTATTTTTATGTGGTGCTGAGGATGGAACCCAGGGCCTCACATGTTCGAGGCAAGTGCTCCACCACTGAGCCACACGCCAGCCCTGCTAAATCTCTTTCCTCCTCCTCCTCCTCCTCCTCCTCCTCCTCTTCTTTTTAATATTTATTTTTAATTATAGGTGGACACAATGTCTTTATTTTATTTATTTGGTGCTGAGGATCGAACCCAGTGCCTCACACATGCTAGGCAGAGTGCTCTCCCTCTGAGCCACAACCCCAGCCCACTTCTTTCTTTTTTTTTTCTTAAATAATCCTTTTACTCCTTAATAAGAATAGTTATAATGTTCACTGTAGAAAATTAGGAAAATATTAAAGTAAAAAAAAAATTCTAGATGGTTGACTCATCTAGAAAGTGTGTCCTGGCAGTACCAGCAGGAGAGGTAGCAGACAGTATGTTTCTAGTCCATGTATGTCTATATCTATATCTGTATCTATATCTATATCTATCTATATTTTTTAATTAAATAAGGATTGTATTACATGCATGGTTTATGTCCCATTCCCCGACCTCCTTTCATCATACATGAGTATTTTCCCTGGCTACTAACTGATCCTTAAAAGCACAACACTGAGTGGTAATATAGGAGCCCATGGGAAGGCTGGACTGTCATTTACTGACCCATGCCTCTTTCAGTGTTCCTTTACGTTGCTTTCAAAGTTTTGCCTCTTAGAAATTGTGGTAAAGTTCTTTGCACCTCCATCTTTGTCTGCACTTTTAACAGCTCTCCTCTCCTTCCTCATGTCAGCTGGTTGGTTGACTCAATCCAGCAGGTGTGTCCTTAGCCCCTTCCTGGGGCTGGGCCCTGTGTTGGGCTGGGGACACAAAGGAGATGGCTGAGGATTGGGAAGGGAGCTCCAAATGAGGAGTTTGCATAAGTCACTAACATCTTGGGTCTTTGCCTTCAGAATTAGCCAGGTTATGCAGGGTCTCGCTGCCAACTATGGTAGGAAATTATTAAAGGTAACAGAGAAAGAGAATATCACTGTACCTTATGCCTTCTTGGAGTAATCTTTTTCTTTTAACAAACCCCTACTCATGCTTCAAGACTTAAACCAAAAAGTCCCTTCTCTGTAAGGCAGTGTGACTCCTCCAGGCAGAGCTAGTCATACTAGTCACTCCCTCTCCCAAACTCTCAGGGCAGAACTCATATTTGGTTCATTTTTGTATCTCAGCACCCAGCACAGAGTGTTCAGCCTTGGGTGCTGTTTTCACTGCTGCTGAGGGTAGCAGTAAAGTGTACATTGGCCTTGCCATGTGCCCAGAACTGCTGTTGACACTATATATGTGTGTACAGTTTTATTTAACCAGCAAGATAGATGCTGTTAAGTAGATGAGGTAAAAGGAAGCTCAGAGACCTAGGTCCCATATATTTCCTGCCTGGTTCTTTTTACCCCATAGAAGGATTATCTTATTGATACTGTGATGTTCAAGAGGATGAGGGCTTCCCTGTTTGGGTTCCCAGCCCCTGAGGCCTGAGGGGGAGAGATCCAGGAATGCTCTAGGGACAGAGGAGGACCAGAGGCAGGTTCAAGGCAAGTGGAGCTGTCTCGGAGGGAAGCCCCCACTCCCACCAGGTGGGAAGCAGGCTGGCTGGTGGATAGGTGGATGGCTACTGTGGGGAGACGTATCTCAGTAGATGGACAGATGGTTAGACAGGGAACCAGGTGGGGTTCTGATGCATATCAGAAGAGGCCGGAAAGCTGGAGGCAGGCACTCCAGGTAGTGAATGAATGAAGGAATCTCAGTTTCTTTTGGATAAAGTATTAATAATAACCCCTGCCCTGCCTACCTCACAAGGCTACTGTCAATTGGATAGGATATAAGGAGATGCAAATGTGCTTTTGAGACATTCTTCTTGTGGCTGATATCATAATACTGGGCCCTGACTCCTTCTTGGCTGGAATGTTACCCACCAGTACCGCACCAAGAGCACTCCAGTTATCAAGTCCCCCAAGGTGACCCCAGAGGAAGCCTCTCCTCGGAGGATCCTCATCTATGGAGTCCAGGAAGAGAATGGCTCTCGTGTGCAGAACTTCGCCCTGGACCTGACCCCGGCACCTGAGGTGGTTTACAAGTCAGAGCCAGGCACCAGCGATGGCATGAATGTGCTGGGCATCGTCATCTTCTCTGCCACCATGGGTAGGTGCTACCTGCCCACCCCCACAGTGCCCAGCAGCCGTCCCCTCCCGGCATCCTGCCATCCAGCTCTCTAAGTAACCTGGAGCCCTCTAGCCCTTCAGGCCCTTCCTCCTTTTCCTAGGCAAAGAGTGGCTTGAGCCCCCATTCCCTCACTGAGGGTGTCCACCCGCCCACCCCCACAGCGAGCCAGGGGGTCCTCGCTCAGAATCCCCATCCCTGAGGGCCGGTTTTCTTCCAGGGACACTGGCTCTCCCTCTTCTTTTGTGTCCCCAGTCCCGACCAGCAGCTTGTCCCTGGACCTTTCACTAAGGCCTGGAGAGGATGGGGAGGGGGAGAGGGGTGCCACTGTTTACTTAACGTCTATCACCCCACCCCACCCCCTGGGCTTCTCACTGGCCACTTCTCTCTTCAGAGCCATTTCTTGTCTGTGCCATTTCTTAGGCCACACAGTGTCCTCCCTGACCACACTCATCTCCAGCTACTCTTCTCTGGGTCCCCAAGGCCCCTAATCACCATGAAGCCATAAAGTTCAAGGCTCAGGACCCCTCATTTGTATAGGAGCCTTCCCAGGCCTAGACCTTTTTATTTTTAAATTTTTTGTACTCAAAGAGAGCCCCCAAGGTGTATAGCTTCAGTCTCCACAAAACCTATGGCTGTGCCTCTGCCTGCGGTGCCCCCACAACACCCTTTTCCTTCTTAGGACAACTCCCAGTCCTTCAGCACTGACCTGCACTGTGGGGCCTGGGCAGCCGTCTCCTGCTCCCCATGTCTCCACCAGGGTTTCTTCTCAAGTAACCAGCCTCCTTATCCTCCTGGCTGCTCATGCAAGACATCTGGGCTCACTTTCTCCCTCACTTTTGCCTTAGCCCCACATTTGAATCCTGTCAAGTCTGCCTCTAGATTCTCCCTCTACTCATGCATTTCCCTTTCCCACCACCACCACCCTGGTTCAAGGCCACCTGGTTCCTGCAAATGCTGCCTAAAGAGTCCCCCACATCCTCCTCTCTTGTCCCTTCTTGGTGTGTCCTCCTCAGAGGGTCACAAAGCTGGACATGCTTTGCACTTAGAAAGAAGCCAAGCCAGCTGCAGAGCTCCCTATGACCTGGTCCTTGGGCATAGTCAACCTGTTGGAGAGATGAGTGACAGATGACCAAATGAATGGACGATGACAGACAAGGCTCTGATCATCTGGGTCATAACATCTGGCATGTGAAGGGGCCAGGACAGGCTGGTGAGCGTGGGGCAGGCTGGTGCTGGAAGGACCCTTCAGCATCCCTGGCACTCAGTCCTCAGTCCTGGACATTCTTCCCTTCCCCACCTGGAGTCTCTCTTAGGGATGGGGACATGGAAGAAGGAATCTATTAGCAAAGCCAAAAAAAAACCCCTTGTGACTCCAGTCACCTGGTGATTACTGAACAGGTGTAACTGTCTACATATCAATGTTTGTGTGTGTGTATCAAGTCAGTGTGAACCAGCGTTAGTGTGTGCCCACCTCTGTCCGTGCCCACATCTGCTGGTGCCCGTGTTTGTCAGTGCTAATACTGTGCTCTGAATGGGTTTTCTTTGACTCCTCAATTGAGCCTTCTTTCTCTGACCCTCCCTAGTGCTGGGATATAGCTAGTGCTGAGGTCTCCTTGGCCTTGCCTGCAGGGGCGCCCCACCGCCACACCCCCAGATCCCTGCACACTAGCTCCCATCCAGCCAGAGTCCTTGGATGTCCCCAGAGAAATCCAGGTGGAGGCTGGGAGGGGCAAGAGTAGCCTGGGGAGGGATGGAGCTGGCAGAAGGAACCTGGGTCCACATCAGCCACGCTGTGACAGGCCAGCTGGGCAGGGCTAGGCCCAGTGTCACCTCCAACTCTAGCCTCTCCTGCCCAACCAGGCAGGGCCCCTTTTTCACCACAGGGCAGCTGCTCTGTGGACTGTAGGGAGAGTCCCACAGGCCAGGATGGTAATGCCACTCTGTCCCCCACTGGCTGAGCCAGTCACTGATTTCTGAGCATGTGACATAAGCTTCCCCAGGGCAGCCTGGGAGTGTGCTCTGTGCCCCATCTTGGTCTTACCAGGAAAGCAACCATCAGCCACTTTTTCAAGACGGGCATGGTGATGCCCAGTGTCATGGACCTGACCCCATGGTACAGTCTGCCCCTGTGTGATTTCCAAGTGTGTTTCGAGCACTGAAGGGAAACCCAGAATACCCCAGGGGCACCGGGGCTTCAGGGATGGCTTCAGCATCAGTCATTCAGTAGTTTTTGTCAGGTGTCTCCTGTGTGCCAGCTGAGAAGCCAGTTCTCACCCCCATGGAGCTAACCGACCAGAAGGGACAAGGAGAAAAAGCAGACAAATGGGGAACAAAGTTATCAGTTGTAATAAGCAACAGAAAGAACACAGCTAGAGATGAGAGGGGAAGGGATGAACAAAGGCCCTGAGGCAGAGCAGACCTCCATGTATTCTAGAAGCCTGAAGAAGGCCAGCAAGGCTGGGGGATAGTGAGGAAGGGAAGATCAGGGTGGGCAGAAGAGGGTGGCACAACAGGGTCAGATACGGAGTGGAAGTTGTGGGAACTTGGTTATGGTCTAAGTGCAGGGACAGGGATGTCAAGGGTGTTTGGCAGGAGCATTTTTATCTTGAGAGGATGCCATCTGCCATGTGGAGACAGGTTAGAGAGGGGTGAGACGGGGTGGGGGGGCACCCTGTCGGGTCCAGTGGTGGAGGCCAAAGGGAAAGGGAGTTGGGGGCAGTTCTGGCTGGTCAAAGCTGCTGGAGAGGCAGCCAGGGCTGGGACGTAGGGGGGTGTGTGTGTGTGTGTGTGTGTGTGTGTACGTGTGTCTACATGTACGTGCGCGCGCCAAGGACATGCCTGGGCCCAGGCTGGCACACTTGTGATATGCTGTGTGTCCCCACAGGCATCATGCTGGGCCGCATGGGTGACAGCGGGGCTCCACTGGTCAGCTTCTGCCAGTGCCTCAATGAGTCTGTCATGAAGATTGTGGCTTTGGCTGTGTGGTAAGCTTCCTCCAGGGAGGGTCCTCTTCAACCTTCCCCCCAACCCTCTCCAGTCCTGGGCAGATGGAGGGTCACCACAGTCCATCCCATCCTGTGGTCTCTTAGGAGCACAGCAGAGGCTACACGGGAGGCTCAGCCTCCAGAGCTAATCATGTAGGCCTGGACCCCCAGCTCTGACCAGGCCTGGTTCCAGCCCTGGGCATGCTACTTCTGGCATGGCATGGAGGAGATCTAGCCTGGCTCTGCTGCTCACCTCAGTTTCCCCTCACCCTGGAGCCTCCTTAGCTCTACTTTTGGAGAGAGAACACACTGGAAGTGAGAACCAGCTGCCAATCCTTGGTTCAGAATTCAGATATTAGGAATCCTATAATGAGAGGGGAAATGCAGAGGCCTGCCCAGCGTCCCCCAAGGAGCTGTACCATTGCTGGGGCTGAAATGGGGGCCTCCTGAGGGCAGGGATACTTCTCAGAGGCAAGACCTTGCCCAGGGTGGGGTGGTTGAGGGAAAGGACACTGGGGATGCCGGGCGCCTGGTCCAAGGCTGGGTCTCATTCAGTCACCTGTGAGCCCTGGCAGGCTCACAGATCAGGTCACACAGTGACATGGTGCCTGGCCGGGATGGCCTGCCTGCCTGAGCCCAGGGCTGCCCACCCCCAGGTACTTCCCCTTTGGCATTGTGTTCCTCATCGCTGGCAAGATCCTGGAGATGGATGACCCCAAGGCTGTTAGGAAGAAGCTGGGTTTCTACGCCATCACTGTGGTGTGCGGGCTCGTGGTCCACGGCCTCTTCATCCTGCCCCTGCTCTACTTCCTCATCACCAGGAAGAACCCCATCGTCTTCATCCGCGGTGTCCTCCAGGCCCTGCTCATCGCACTGGCCACCTCCTCCAGGTAGCCACACGGAATGAGCAGGGCAGGTGGGGTGGATGGAATACAGCTCTGTCCATCTGTCCAGCCATCATTTGTCTACAGCCACAGAATCATAGAAAGTGCTAATATGGCCCACTTCACAACCTAGGGATGGCAATGGTGCTGCGGTATCAAGACCCAGGATAGAGATTTCAAGGTTGAGGCTTCACCGAATCACTCATCTGGCCTTCCCCTGCCCACGGTCTCTAACACTCTCTCGATGCAAATGGGGGTTGCTTCCACATCTCAGGGGAAAAAGAGCTGTAGAGTCTGAAGAAAATCACCAGTGGCTTACCAGTCCCTGGGTACTTTTGCCGGAGTCAGGCCCCACACTGTCCTAGGGGCTCTGCCTGTCCACTGTTGCTGGGATGTCCTGGCTGGATGTCCTGCTTCAACCTTGGCAGTGAGGCTAGGCAGGGGGATTCAAATCACAGTCCTTTCTCACACTGGCTGGTGATGGGTTGCCCCTTGACTTCCCTGGGCCTCAGTGTCCTCATACTCAAGACTGGGATCATTTGAGGCTCTCCCTCCCAGGGCTGGTGTGGAGAGTGAGATAATCCACTCAGGGGCTGGCGAGTGAGGGGGACCCCAGGGAGAGAGAGTGCTGTGCAACCCAGGCTGCTGGGCGAGGAGTTGGAAGGTGGCAGCCACTGCTGAGCCACTTACCCTATAGAAAAGGGCATGCTCCCCACAGCACGTGTCCATGCCCTCCATGGAGGAGGCTCGGAACCAAGCCCATCTTCCTGTCCCAAAGGCCTCACTCTTCTCTGGAGCCCTTGCTGTCTTCTCTTCCTTAGGCCTCAGCTCCTCAGTCTGCAAGAAGCCCACAGGCCTCTTTCCCTGGCAGACACACAACCCCAACCCTGGACGAAGCACCTCCTACAGACTCAGTGCCAAGCACTCTTCTGGGCCCCAAGTGACTTGATCCTCCCAATAGTTCTGAGCTCTGAGTATTGGGTGGGAGAAGGAATCCAAGGCACCCAGGTTGAGGCACTCGCCAGGGCCCTGGCAGGAGGCTGACTCCAGGCCCAAAGTCTGGCGCAGAGCCTGTATGGTTCGCCACTTCAGAATCTCTAGGCCCAGCAGTGTGGCATTGCACCAGCCCTCCTCCCTGCAGCCCCAGGAGGAAGCAAGTAAGAGGACGGTGGGTGCCTTGGTGCAGTGGGAGCCCTGTTGTGGTGGCTCCTCCTCTTGTTCCAAGGAGGCCCCACATGGGTGCCTGCACACTCCTGTCAGGGCACCTGTTCTCCCCTCTCATGAGCTGCCTGTCTTTGCCCCTGGAGAAGGGCAGTGGGCAGACTCTGGCCCCTCTGCCCGTAGCTCAGCCACACTGCCCATCACCTTCAAGTGCCTGCTGGAGAACAACCACATCGACCGGCGCATTGCCCGCTTTGTGCTGCCTGTAGGCGCCACCATCAACATGGACGGCACTGCGCTCTACGAGGCCGTGGCTGCCATCTTCATTGCCCAGGTCAACAACTACGAGCTGGACTTTGGCCAAATCATCACCATCAGGTGCGTCCTGACACCCACACCCTGGAGGGGTCTCTGAGCTCAGCAAGAGTGAAGGACTCACACCAAGCCACACAGCAAATCGGCACTGGCTCTGGGAGTGAGCAGGTCTCTGGGACTCAGGGTGCCCGAGTATGGCAAGGAAGAGGGCCTGGGCCTAGACAGGAGGGAGGGGCAGACACTGCAGGTGGGCCAGGGACAGGACTGAGCACTGGTGTAGCTGGAGCCAAGGGCAGGCACTGGGTGGGGCAGGCCTCACCCTGGAGACCAGATGCCACAGCAAAGCTGGGCAGAGCTATGCTGATGGAGGATCAGAACCTGTGGGTAGTTCTGGAACCTACAGGATCTGTGCAGGGCCACACCCTGGTTTCCACACTTGCCTCAGATTGGACCCTGGGTCATAGGACCATGAGCAGGGACATGAGAACAACCTAATGTGGCATTCCTAGCAACCTTGGCCCCACGTGGCTGTCTCAGAGGCCCAGCCTTCTGGCCTCCTTCTTGGAGCTAGGCCCAGACATGAGCCCCCCATACCCACCTATTGCTCCTCCTCTTCCTCTCACTGCTCCCCCTGCAGTATCACAGCCACTGCAGCCAGCATCGGGGCAGCTGGAATCCCCCAGGCTGGGCTTGTCACCATGGTCATCGTGCTTACCTCTGTGGGACTGCCCACCGACGACATCAACCTCATCATCGCTGTGGACTGGGCTCTGTGAGTTCACCCAACCTCAGTCCCACCCCTTGGCAAGGGCAGCAGGCAGCAGGACAGGGAGCCAAGTCCCTTCCCCAGGGCAGAGAGCCAGGGAGCTGCTGTGCTCAGCACAGTAGGAGTGCCTTACTCGCCTGCAGGCTGGCTGCATAATTTGGGAGGAGGGGGCAGAGTTCGAAAACGAAAACAGGAGGCCCCTTGTTCAAAAATTATCAAGAACTTCAAGAAAGTGACTGCAGAGCATTAAGCTAAGTTGGGCCCACCTAAGCACCGGGTCCTGTGCAGCACACAGCCACATGCCCAGGAGCCACCCTACACCAACTCACTTCAACACCCACAAGGAGCGGGCTTGGGCGCTCTGCCCTGCCTCCCAGCACTGCCTGGGCCGCTGCTGCAATGGCCTTATGCCTGTGAATTAAACATGGCCCTTCTCCAGCTTCCCTCAAGACGCCCACCACTCACCGCCCACCTTGGTTTCCCAGGGACCGATTCCGCACCATGATTAACGTGCTGGGTGATGCATTGGCTGCAGGGATCATGGCCCACATCTGCCGGAAGGACTTTGCTCGGGATACAGGCACTACCGAGGTGAGAACAGAGACCACTAGCAGGGTGAAGCTGGGAGGGGCGGGCAGAGCAACAGGCCTTCCAGCTGGGCAGCCTTCAAGCAGTCTCCCCTTGACTCTGGCCCTTGGTCTCCTTGTCTGTTACAGAGGGTGACTAATTCCTCTAATATTTATTTATTGAGCACCTGCCAGGGCCAACACTGATCTAGACAGAAGAGAGAGAGTGGGAATAGAATATAACAATCCCTGCCCTGGGAGACTCATATCCCAGGACAGGATGGGGCTGTCCTGCTCAACAACCTTGACACCTGTGGCTTTGTGTGGGGCTGCAGGGTCTTCAGAGCTCCCTAATGCATGTGTGCTATAGGCAGCTTGGGAAGCGGTGTCCAGTGACCTGCTTGGTCCACTCATGTCTGTAGAAAAGTCCCCATCACGGTCCTCAGCCCTGTGTTTGCACTGTTCCACCCACCCTCAGTCCCTCCTGCTGATACCAGGCCTCTTTCCCTCCCCCAGAAACTGCTACCCTGCGAGACCAAGCCCATGAGCCTCCAGGAGATTGTGGCAACCCAGCAGAACGGCTGTGTGAAGAGTGTGGCTGAGCCCTCCGAGCTGACCTTGGGTCCTGCCTGCCCCCACCATGTCCCTGTACAGGTGGAGCAGGATGAGGAGCCAGCCATCACCAGTCTGGACCATTGCACCATTGAGATCAGTGAGCTTGAGACTAATGTCTGAGCATGCAGGGGCTGCAGGGACCAGGCAAGACCCCTGGGGCCAGGAGCCAGGGGCAGGATCTTAACTCACAGCTCACAGAGAACATGCTCACACATTCTTCCCCTTGCTGAGGGGCTGGAATTGGCTCTATGGGTGGAAAATGGGGTCTTCAAAAGGGAAGGTGTATACAGGAACCCCAGTCAGGGAGCAATGGCCTGCAAAGCCCAAGCCCTAGCTGTGACCACTTCTGCCCTGAAAGAGCACCAGGCAGGGGTTATTGTCCCCATCTTCTGGATGACAGGTTTGAGAGCTGAAAACACTTTCTCAAGATCTAAAACAAGCAATACTAGCGCCAAGATACTAACTTAAGTCTTTCGGGGCTTGGCCACCACCTCTTGAAGGAGAGGGTGGCCCGCTTCCAATATATGAAGACAAAATAACAATGTCCTGGTTTCTGCCCCAGCTGTGTCCAGGTCCAGGCCAGTCCCCTATCCCACCCTAGAGCATGTGGCCTCAGTTAATCGGCTCTCCTCAAGGGCGGGCCCATCACAGGACCAGACCCACCGCCTTCCACGGGCCACAGCCTGCCCTGTCTCTGCCCACATGTCGCAAAAAGCTCATCTGATGTGGAGACAGATGTCTTCAGCAGGGTTGGACGGCCTCGTGGACACATCCAGGCCAGACTCCCATGGGATGGGTGGGCCAGGCCAGGCCTCCAGAAGGGAAGTGCTTGGGCCGAGGTGCCAGTGGCTCCCTTGGGTCAGAACTCCACAAAGGCCTATGTGGGAAAGTGGAGTCAGAGTTCATACCCTGTCTGTGTTTGTAAATTCAGTGATAACTAAATAAAGATGTTTGGTTTTTCAAGTCCTACAGCTTAGAGAACACATTCTGAGCAGCACTTCTTTGCTGGGCTAACACAGGCTATCAGAATGCAGATAAGCCTGTCTTGGTGGCCAGAGTGAAAACAGGCTTGTCTGAGCTGTCACATGCAGAAAACGGTGCAAATCAGCCTACCCAGGGGGCCTACCTCAATAGGCCTGTCTGTGGCTGGGCCTTGTTCAGGGATCTATAGTGCAGACAGACCTCTCTACCCTGACCGAAGGCAGGGCAACGAGATCAGTCCCTATTGCTCCCTTTGGTGAATGCTTTGCCTTAGAGAGGGGACATGCTTGAGGACACTTCTAGTGAGTTCCTCATTCTCTTGTCACAGGATGATTCCAGGAGACCTGCAGGGCACACAAAAGGGCCCTGGCCACATAACCTGTTGTAGATGTGTGACAGGGAGAAGATATGGCTCTGTGGTCTACGAAGGTCTTACACCGGGATGCTCACAAAGACACTGAAATCCAGAAAGGGGACAAAATTGCCCAAGGTCACCTGGAGAGTTGGGAGGGCACCTGCTTCCACCTCCAGCTCCTGAACTACTTCCATTCTTCTCCCAGGGTCACAGCTAGAGGTGGAAGGGCCTCCACCCCAGAACTCTTCCCACTGCAGGGCTAGAGGTTTAGGGCCACCATCCTCTGTCAGACCCTAGCCACCTAGGAGAAGTCAGTTGTCAAGCTGTTGGTCACTCCTACCTTCATGTGGACAGGGTTATTTGCCCCTTCCCTGGGGCACACTTCTAAGACCCTTTGAGTAATGGAGTCTGCCCCCACCCGCAAGGCAGGAGTCTGCTCTTTCGCAAGCTTGATAGAAATGTCGTACACACCTCTAGAAGGAGGGAAGTCACTACTTCCTGGACATCTAAATCCACCGAGTGGGTAGCACTGCCTGTCAGAGCTTTTCTTTGCTCACAGCCACCTCTCTGCAGCTTCCCACTGTGGGACTAACTCTGTCCCCGTGGGAAGGCATGTCTATTACCTCTTCCCTGGGAAGGTCTGCAGAGACCGGGCCCCCAAGTCAGGTCTACTCCCATTCCTAGGCTTGCGTCCTATTCCCTTCCCACCTCTGTGGGACTGACCCCATCAATAATAGCCCCTCAGTATAAAGGCAACCCTCCAGGTGAGCCCTGAGTAGCCCGAAGCCCAACAGGTCCTTTGCTTGAAGTTCAGCTCCTGAGAATGCAGAGCAGGCAGTGTGGGCCTACCTGCTGATTCCCACCCAGCTGTGGGAATCCCCAGGCCTCTTCACCTACCTCTAAGCCCATCTCTCTGGCTCTCTGCCTGTGTGACTCCTTTGGGAGCCCGAGACCTGAACTTTGCCCTGATTCCTTCTGGCCTGGCCAAAGTGCAGATTTGCATGTAGGCTGCCAACCCTACGCTGACGCCAGCCCAGCACATGGCTGGAAGCACACAGACGCAGACACGGCTGCAAGGACAGGGATAATGCTTTTATATTAGATTTTCTGTAACAAGAAAAATCAACTTTGAGATTTTTATCATTTTTTTCCTTAAAAAACAACACCCAAAGCACCCAGAACTTCCCTGCAGGCCCAAAGATTCAAGAGTGTCTTAGAGGCACAGCTGGGCCTTTTCTGGATCCTCTGGGCCTTGCCTCCCTCCTGCCCCAAAGCTCCCTCAGTGGGGCTTGTCTATCAGAAAGTGCCTGCAGCCTGACAGGGCAAGGCAGGATGGGGCTCTCAGCAGGGTGACTGCTCTAGCACCTGGGGGCAGGGGCAGAGCCAGGGCAGAAGTCCAAAAGGTTCCTGTCCGCAAAGGGAGGAATAGGAACAAAAGCCAGCTTTTGTGAGTTCCAGAGAGTGGAAAGTACCCCACCACCACAGAACTAGGAGCTGAGCTGTGTCTTCTCCAGGGGACTGATGGACAGAGGATGGGGCAGATGGCAAGTGATTTGTATATTTGCTTGTGTGTGTGTGTGTGTGTGTGTGTGTGTGTGTGTGTGTGTGTGTGTGTCAACAGGAGGGAGTGGGCTCTCTCATAGGCCAGATCCTTCCCCAAGTCTGCATGACTCAGGGAGCAGGCAAGGCAGCAGTGGCGGGCCTGGGCAGAGTGGGATGGTTTGGAGGGTGATGTGCAGCAGCTGGCTGTGTGTGTGGCCGAGCTGTGTGTGGGGGTGTGACGTGGTGTCTGCACGTGTCTGGTTGTGAGGCACAATGCAGGAAGGGGCAGGGATATGAGACTGTGTTTAGCCTGTGGTGTGAGGGATGCCCCGTGATTTAGCGCTGGCTGTGTCCATGTGACCGTGGCAGATGGGGGCTCACAGGGCACAGGCATGTGCTGCAGAAAGGAGTCCGGTGGTCCATCGTCCTGCAGAACATGTAGGAGAGGTCAGGGGCCAGCCCAGGACAGAGCTACCAGCCACAACCATCCTGGGAGAGATGGACTAGAGGTTAGGTTAGATGACCCTGATTAGGGGGTCTCTGGGTAGGCCAGGCTCCTCTGAATGAGGAGGGGGAGTCACCCCTGGAAGCCTGGAGCCAGAGGGAAGTGTCCAGGCCAATGTGGGGCAGGAGAGCCTTTGGGTCCCATTGGCCACTCCCTAAGATTTTTCCCAGGGTTGTCCTCAAATGCTGACTATGTCCAATGTCTTCTAAGGTGACAATCCCCTACTTCAGGATTTCACAACCCTCCTTATGAGGGCCACAAAGTCCTCACTGAATGGCCAGTCACCCCTGTTGCTGGCTGCTGGCTCCACATGAAGACAGTGCTTCAGGAGAAGGGTTTCCACCTTCACACCTGGCCCCAAAAGTAGGGCCAGGGACTCTGGGGCACTGGCTCTGGGTCTGCACCTTCACATTCAGACAGCCCTGCCAGTCCTGCTTCTATCAACAGGGACCCACCCCTTTCCCCACTCCTTCTGTCTACCCACCGGGCTGAAGCCATCCATCAACAGCCCTGCAGGCTCCTCTCTGCCCCAGACCCTGCTTCAGGTCAACATCCTTAAGTGGCCCAGCAGCCCCCACCCATGTCTATACCCTGGCCCTGTGACCCCTGCATGACTCACTCCCAACTCCTAACTAACTTCTGACATCTCCCCGACTACCTGCCTCTCCTTCCAACCACCCACTGTCACTGTGCCCAAGTTCTAACACCCTCCCCAATGTCTATGCATAATGATTCCTCAGGGTCTCTACTGCCTTCCCTACCTAGGCTGGCCCTCAGGACCCATGACTTCAGTCATCCTCTTGTTAATATACTCTATTTCCTTGTTCCCTGTCCTCTTGGTCCCATACCCTTGGTCAAAACCCATCCAACTGTCCCTCTTCTCTGTGCCCCGTTGTCAGCTAAGCACCCCCTACTGCATGGAGAAGGTGAAAGGCTGAACTCATTGGCTGATGTGACTTCAGATCCAGCCACCACTATCAGCCTGCCTATGACTGCACCACACTCCTCATGGCCACCACCAGCAGCCAAACCAATTTCATCCCTAAAGGAGCAGCAAATGAAATGAGCCCTTCCTGAGCTCACATGCGCCCACTACTGCCCCTGCATCTCTTCAAACCAGACGTCCTGAGGGTATCTACACTCCTGGATCCACTTCTTCACTCCCATTTTTCCCTGTAGTCACTTGCTACAAAGTCATAGATGACTCCATGTGGACAAGTCCACTAGCTCCTTCAGCCTCTCGGCAGTATTGACCCGGCTGGGTACCCCACTTCTGGAGAAGCCTGTCTGTATGAATCATGCATGCACATGTGTGTCCACATGCAAGGGCGTGAGTGTGTGGGTACATATGTGTGCTCACATGCAGGCACACTTGTGAATGCTATTACTACATGGCCTGTGCCTATGAATGTGTCATGGAATATGTGTGTTTCTGTATGCACGTGAATGGCATGCATGTTCTGTGTGTGCTTTGTGAATGTGTGTACATGCTTAGACATGGGTGTGTCCATTGGTATATGTATGCTGAAACACAGGTGTGCGTTTGTGTGCATGTGCATGGGTGCAGGTACCTGTGTTACATGCGTGTGCAAAACCCAGACATGGATGATCCAATTGTCCATCTTCTCCATGCCCCATGGTCAGCTAGGCACCCCCCCCCCGAGTGCTTGCTAGTCTGTGGTTCCCACCTCTTCTCCTGACTGCTCCATCTCAGCCTCCTCTGCAGGCCCCCTACTTGCTCACCCTAGGGAAGCATCAGCCATCTGCAGCTTCAGTGCCTGTCTCAAAGCTCAAAATGCCTGGATCCCCATCTCCAGCCTAGACCTTATTCCCAAGCCTCAGGCCCTAAGTCCAGTCCACTTCTGGGCTGCTGCCATCACAGTGCCTATCACTTTGGACTAGAATCCCCTGGCACTGACTGGTCTCCTTGGCTTGATGTCATACCCCAACCCAGGGCCTGCTGCATCCCTATCTGCAAAATGAGCATGTAGGTTTACAAAATGAAGGGATGAAACAGAGGCCAGAGAATGAAGAATGGACAGAGACAGCCTAGACTGGGGTAGGAACAGGAAAGCAAGGTTAGGAGAGGCCACCTACCTAGGCCAGAGCTGTGTCATCCTGTCCCTATCTCCTGTCCTCTTCCTCCTCATCCTCCTCCTCTTCCTCCTCTTCCTCCTCCTCTTCTTCCTTCTCTAAGTGGCCACGGTTCTTGGAAACGTCACCAAACTCAAAGTTGCCTTCGATGTCCAAGACCTGTAGGTGCTTCAGCCTCCGGAAAGCACTTTCCACCACAGAGCCCACGGCCAGCTTGTTAAACCTAGGAAGTCATCCACATGGGGGTCAGCAGAGGCGCCCACTTCTGGGGTCCCTCCCCATTATCTACCTTGGAAGGTAAAAGAGGAGGGAGTGGGCCCTCCAGGAGATGATACATCAAGTTGAAAAGGCCTGGGGTGGAGAAGCATGGTGCACAGTGGGAAGTCTCAGTTGTTCAGGGTAACAATGGCTTGGGGGCAGGGAATGGCACTGGGCTGGTCATCCATAAAGCAAGAATTCTCCCTCTGCACACACGTTCACTACGACTTTGGGAGTGGAAGACCTGGGAATGCCTCTCTGCCTGCCCACCTGCACTAACCCCAAAGCCTGAGCAGGCACACAGGCAAGGCCATTGCTGAAATGAGCCAGACACACTACTCTCAGGCTCCCCTACTCTCTGCACCTCAGCTTCACTGTAGAAGCCTAAACATATGTCACTCCACCCCAATGTCACCAAGCTCTTGGCTTTCTGCTCTACTCTCTTCTGTTTCAAATCTGATTTGAGGGTTGGGATTGGGGTGTGGGGGTGTTGGGAAGAACTACACTGGCTCTGGATGGAAGTGCCATATCCTCCAGGAGCTAGGTCCTCGGAATCACTGCAAACTCCAGTCCCACATCCCTAGAGCCCAGTGAGGACCTGGATGTTCACATCGTGGCTCTATGGCCCAGGCTCAGTCTGGCTGACTGTGGATAAAGCAGTCACCTGTGCTGTCTGGGCCTTAGTTTTTCCAACTATAAATCAGGAAGATGTTTTTTGGGTTTCCTTCCCATTACATTAACATCAAAAACACTATGGTGCATTGGTTTTAAAGTTTCCAAAGTCCATTTATGAGGCATATCAGACCTGGCCAGAACTGTCCTCACCCTTCAGGGCTGAGACAGCAGAGGCTCATGGGGTTCTTTAATGTCTCCAGGGTCCCACAGCCAGGCAGTAGTGGAACCAGGCTCTGAACACTGGTCTCTTCATATGAGATACTCCTGGGTCTCAATTGTCTGGCTGGAGTTGGGCAAGTGCCAAGGGTTGTATGCAGGGCATGGGGGACTTACTACCTGAGAAAGATCCCCTTGAGGTTGGGTGTGGAGTCGAAGGCATTGGCAGGCACGGTGCTAATCTTGTTGTTCTGCAGGTACAGGTACTCGAGAGACTTGGGAAGCCCCTCGGGGATCTCCGTGAGCTGATTCCCAGCAATGTCCAGCAGCTGCAGAGGTGACCATGGGAGTCAGGGACTCCCACCTGTGCAAAGCACTTAACAGCTTACAAAACTCCCACCAAACCCCAGCCTATCTAAATCTAATGATAATCCTGTTGAGGAGAGGGGGTCTATGATTATCTCCATTTTCCAGGTGGGAAAACAGAAATTCAAAGAGGGTAGGTGATTTAAGGACACACAGCCTGTAAGAGGCTGAAACCTGTTGTGCCTGACTCCAAGCCCTTGTTCTAATTGATATAGGCCCTACCCAGCACCTCTGCCTTCACACATGAAGTCATAGCCAAGATATTTGGGTTTCACAGTCCTTAATTCTTTTTTAAAAATATTTATTGTTTTTTAGTTTAGTTAGACACATTATGTTTATTTCATTATTATGTGGTGCTAAGGATCAAACCCAGGGCCTCACATGTGCTAGGTGAGCGCTCTACCGCTGAGCCACAATCCCAGCCCCTACAGTCCTTAATTCTTAACACACTTCTCCTATCAGATTAAAGACCTAGGACAGGCAGGGGCCAAGGGTCCTCCAGTCTTTGAATTTTGCTCCACTGGCCCTAGAGGGCACACAAGTGGGGTGTTTATTTGTGGACCTCAAGGGCCACATGCACAGGGGTCCTGAGCAAGGGTGTGAGGCCTACAGTGATCCTGGTACAATAGCCAGGATTATACCAGGCTGGTCAGACTTAGTCATCAAGTGCCAGAAGCCCATAGCCAGGGAAGTGGGAATGGGTTTGCCCAGAAGAGGAACACACCTGCAGTGGGCAGGAGGCTGTGGCATGTGCTGTTGTGGCCACCTTCACTGTCCCTCAGGTTGTTATGAGGGACACTGTACAGCCACAGGGCAGGACCCCAAGATCAATAAGTTCCCTTCCTTACCCTGAGGCAACCTCAGGGTCAAAAACTGGTGCTATGAATCCAGACAGCCAGGCACATTGGCATCAGGATTCCAGGGAAGCTAGAGCTTCACGGATCACCCCTACACACAGGGCTCCTGCTTTCTGCTGTCCCCACAGTACTCAGTGCCCTCCATGTGTCTCCACTTCATCCATTTCCTCATGCATCCCAAACATCCTGTGCCTATGGGTTCAGGGGACACGGACTCCACTGAGACACTGTGTCCACCTTCAGGAAGCCAGACCAGCTGTACAGATGGACCCAAACTGAGAAGGACAAGTCAGTGGAATTGGCTATGCTGAGGTGGTGGTGGGGGGAGCGTGGACCAGCCTCGGGCCAGGGAAAGCTCTCCAGGGTAGGCTCTGAGGCAGAGCCTCTACCACTCATGGCAGGAGCAACTGCCTGTAGAAAGATCACAGTGTGAGGAAAAGTCCTCTGTCCACCAGACATCCCTGGCTGAGCTCGTCCAGGCTCAGGGAGGCAGCTGACCTGCCATGAGTAGTAGAGGAGGAAGGGGCCTCCTAGAGGAGGCAATGTCCTAGTTGAGTCCTAGGTGTGTGCTCCAGGTAGTAGTGGCCCTCTATCTGTCTTAGCCCCCACAGGTCCCCAGTTCTGAAACAGTCTGACACACAGTAGGGACTGCACGTAGGCTGGTGGAACAGATGAAAGTCATGACTGAGTAGCTATCACTGGTGGGCAGCATGGAGAGGTACTTCAAGCAGAGGAGCCAATGTGCATTGGTAACAGGGCAGAGCAGGCCTTGAAGGCCATGGCCAGGAGTCTGTCCTGGGCCCCCAAAAGACTAGGGGGAGCTATGGAATCAGGGCAGGAGTACGAGAGGACATGTTTTTAAAGATACCCTTGATTGCATATGGAGTACTGAAGTGATGAGCTCCTGGGGAGCTGGGTCCCAGGCAAAAAGTACAATGGCCTGGTCTGGAGTGTGGGTAGTGGGGCTGGAGAGAAGTGGACAGACAGAGATATGGTGGTAGCACAGCAGAGTCAGGTGCTGCTAGGCTTCTAGGGAAGTCAGTAGGGCAGAAGGGGATGCTAAGGACAGCTTCTAGGTCTCCCCGGATGGATGCTGTCTTGTCCCTTCAGTGAGTTGGAAAATGCAGCAGGAAGAATGGGCATGGAGGAGAAGATATGGGCTCTGGGTCCTCAAGAACAAGCTCCCGAGGGACAGTCAAGAGGGGCAGCACAGAGGACTAGATGCTGGGGTCTGGTACTCAGCAGAGCAGTCTGGATGAGGTGAGACCCCAGCTGACCTGCAAGATCAGCTGCCTGGCACACCCCACCCTGCTCTGCCTCAGGGCTCCCCCAACCTCTCCCTTGCACTCTGTTCAGACACCCTAGTCCAGATAGCAAGTTCTATAAAGTTGGATCAATTATCTAGTCATCCCTCCCGAGAAAGTGACCAGAAGCCCACGCTTGTAGCTTATTCGGGCTGGAAGGGCAGTCAAGGAGAGCAAGCAGAGGACCTGAGGTCTCGGGGGACCAGGCTTATGAAGAAAAACAAAACGAAGGAAGGCCTCCCAAGGAGATAGCACTTGAGCAGAACCCTGTCTTGGGGTGAGGGGTCAGCAATGTGGAGGCCCAGAGCCTCCAGGTTGAGGTCTGGTTGTGAAGGGGCTCTGGTATGGCAGTAGGGGGGCTGTGGCCAGTTCAGGGGGAAACCACCCAGCATTTCAGCAGCACCCTCCTGCTTCTGCAGTAAAGTTTCATTTTTGCCTATACTTGTTAAGTTGGGAGGTTCCACCTGTTACTCAAAAAAGCTCAGTGCATGTGCCCAGACATCACTGACTCTGACCATGTGGCCACAGCAGTCACACTCACTGGCCAACCTCAGAATGCCTTGGGCAGACTCCCCACCCCTAGCACTCTGCAGTATGGTGACATGAGCCCATGACATGAGCAATACCCTCCCAACCCAAGGCCCAGCCTTCTCTAAGAACCACCACTGTACCTGCAGTGGGGTGAGCTGGACTTTCCCAAGCTACCTGAACTGCCTCCAAGTGGTCCTGTGGGCCTCCCACCTGCAGGCATGAGCTCCTACTTCCACAGCCCTTAAACCTCTAACTACCTGTGGTGAGCCTGACCTGGCCCTTCCAGACAAACACTTCTGTACTCTGCCTAAAGTGGGCTGGGCTAACCCAGGCACGCTAGTCATGTCCTCTGCATGGCCACCTCCCTGTTACCTTAAGGCCCAGCCTCTGCCTCCCTATTCTCCCCAATGGATACCTGAAAGTAAATGAGCTCAGTCTGGCTATACCAGAGGATCCTCCCTCACGGCCCAGCCCTTACCATGTCCCATAGACGAATGGAGCAGGGCAGCCATACCAATAGCACCCCACAGGCATGGCCCAGCCCTCCTCACCTGCAGATGGGCGAGGTCCACCCAAGCACGGGGACCCAGGGCCCGGCTGCGGAGTCGGTTGCCAGTGAGGTAGAGCTCCCGCAGTTGGGCCATGCCTGCCAGCGCCCCGCGTGCCAGAGCAGCCAGCTCATTGCGCTTGACCTTCAGCACGTGCACATTGCGTGGCAGGCCGGGTGGCAGCGTGTGCAAGCGATTGCCGGAAAGGTCAAGTGAGCGCAGGAGGCGCAGCTTGCGGAAGGCATCGCGGTGTATCTGAGGGCTGGTGATGCGGTTGTAGCTGAGGTTGAGCTCCTCCAGGAAGTAGGTGGTAGCGAAGTCCTCACGGCCGATGCCCGTGATCTGGTTGTGCAGGATCATGAGGGTGCGCACGCGCCGGGGCAGGCCGCTGGGCACGCGCTCCAGGGCGTTGTTATACAGGTGCACGGTGTGCAGCCGCTTGAGGCCCTGGAACGCCAGCGGGTGGATACCGTCTGCCTGCAGCTGGTTGCTGTGCAGCAGCAGGTACTCAAGGCTGCGGATGGGGGTCAGCACGTCGGCGTCCACACTCCGGATGACATTCTTCTCCAGGTGCAACAGGACCAGGCTCCGAGGCAGTCCTGCAGGGACCCGCGTCAAGTTGTTGCTAGACAGATCCAGGTACTCTAGGCTGGAGAGCTTCCTGGGGGAAGGAAGGAATTAGAACTTGGCAGGAACCCACATCTGCTTGATCCCACCATTATTCCCAAGAGAGTGTGTATGTGTGTGTATGGGGGGGGGAGCTTGCTGTCTCTAATTCACCCAAGCATGGGGGTTGGGAGACAGCTCAGTGTGGGAAGGATCAGTGCAAAGTTTTTGATATATGAGAGCTTTGAGGGCCACAGTGGAAACTTATGTTAGCCTTTTGTGGCTACCCTGGGTCCCCCAAAATGAAAATATATTGGTCTTCAACAATAATGTTCAAGTATGTATTTGGTACCAATAAGCCAGTCTCCACCAACATTTCCTGGACTCCCTGCCATCTTGGCAGCCCTTAGTTATACACATCAACTCTTCTTGGGGACAGCATTGTCAACTGAGGCACAAGCCTTACAGGGAAAGTGGCCAGGGGAGATCTGCAAGGGATGCCTGAAAGTGTGTGGCTGGGGGTGGGCCCTGGGCGGAGCTTGCTGGGTACAACAGTGAGGCTGAGGATGTGTGAGAGGAGGACCCACCAGAAGGTCTCGTTGTCCAGGCCCTCATCAGTCAGGTAGTTGTTCTGCAGATACAGCTCTCGCAGGTTGCTCAGCTCACTGAAGGCCCCAGGGGGGATCTTTTCCAGCTTGTTGTTCTAGAGAATGGGAAAGTAGGGAGGGAAGAATGAGGAGATGCAAGGGACAGGGACAGGGCCCCAGGATAAGGTGTAGAGAGAGGACTGTGGAGAGGGAACCACCAAGAGGAAACTCAGAGCATCTGGGTGTGAGCTGACAGCCCCCCCACATAACTCACACCAAAGGTCAGGTGCCCAGGTGTCTCCCTGCTTTCCTACAATGACTTGTTGATCTCCATCATGTGCCCACAGCACCATAGCCTCTGCTGGCAGTGCTGTGCCCACTGGGCCAGCTCTTCTCCTGCAGTCCCTACTCTCATGCCCCAGCTAGGGGTCTGCTCTTCCCCCCCCCCCGTTCTCTCCCCTCCTTACCTTGAGGTGCAGCTTGTACAGGGCAGGTGGCAGGTGCTTGGGCACATGGCGCAGGAAGTTGCTGGACAGGATGAGGATCTCAACATTGCTGGAGCCGTTGAACATGCTGTCCGGCAGCCCCGCATCTGCTAGTTTGTTGTTGTGCAGATACACAGACCTGGGGGTCAAGGCATAGTCTTCACCCAACCTGAGGGGCCCGAGGCCAACTTCCCAATGAGGCTTCAAACCTTTGCTGAGGCTGGGACCAGTGTCCAGAGTGCTCTCCTCCTCCCATATTAACCCAAGGATGCAGTTAAAGAGCCTCAGACCTCACCTGAGGTCTTCCCACCAGGAAGAAATAGGATTTCCTGACCCCCTCCACACTACACCTGTGCTGGAGGTATTTGCTCCTCCCAAAGCAGCTCCAGTACAGGGCCATTCTGCCTGCTGGAAGGGGCTGCCCTCCATCCTGTCCCTACTATTCCCGAACACAGTGTTCTCACCCCCTGGACACATCTTCCTTATCCTCTAGGTCCATCCTTTTGGACCCTGAGCTCCTCCAGGCCTTGGGTATCCCTCCACCACAGCTCTGAGCATGGTCCTTGATGCCCCATTACATAGCACATCCCTCTCACAGGAGAGGCAGCTCTACCTCAGCCCTTCCCTTTGCCCCTGCCAAGTCCAGGACCATCACCCTCTGACCTCAAATTTGGCTTCTGGCCAAAGGTGAGCCCATAGATCTTGGTGAGATAGTTGGCAGCAAAGTCCACGCTGATCAGGGCATTTGGCAGGAATCGAGGTGCCAATGTCAGCTGAAAAGGGAAGAGTCTGTCGGAAAGACCAATAGAGAGCAGAGGCCAGCTCTGGGCCCATGGCCAGCTATTCATCTGGGTCCCTTCAAAAGTCTCCTCTCTACAACCAGCGCCATCTTTCTAAAGTGGAAACCTCTATCCTTCCCCAAAAGAGCAGAACCAAAGTATCTCTGGCTCCCCAGTACTTAGCTTGATGGTCAAGGCTCTGCCTGTCTGCTAGCAATTTCTAATCTACCCCCACCCCACATCCTCCTGGGCTCATCCTAGGTAGATGGAGGGGTAGAAGTGGACAAGATTTTAAATGTTGCTCTGGCTGCCCTGAGGAGAAAGGAGAGAAGCAAATGAGGCAGAGGAGCACCCAGGGAGGGGTGGTAGACTGGTGCCTGAGAGAGGTGGAGGACCTACAGAGGGTTGGACGTGGGTGAGGGATGCCCAGGCTCTAGAAGACTCCTGATCTGTGGTCACACCAGTGCTGCTGTGGTGATTAGAGATGTCCTTCACCCAGATGCAAAGATAGAGGATTAATTTTGGGGCTGGGGGCAAGAAGCAGTAGTTTCACTTCCATTAGATACCTGGGGGAGATGTCGAGGTGGCAGGCAGACCTTGAGTCTCAAGCCTCAGGAGTGGAAAGAGCTGGAGATTGCCATCGGACATGGCCAGATTGCAGATGGAAGTCAGAGCCTTGGAGGAGACAAGGTGCCTCCAGAGTGTTCAGGGAGAAGAGGCTAGGATAGGCCCTGTGTATTTTGAGCTTGGCTCATGCTGGTCCTTTATTTCTTCTGTTTTGAAATGGGGGTCTCACTATGTTGCTCAGGCTAGTCTCGAACTCCTGGACTCAAGTGATACCCGTGTCTGGCTTCCTGAGTGCTGGTACCACAGGTACACACCTCCACACCAGCTGTTGACCCTTCTTCTGCAGTGCCCTCCTCAGGCCGGTCACTGGAATCTGACTACCCTTTATTGCCTCACTTCATCTCCACAACAAGCCCTCCAGGCACCCTGCAGTGGGTCTCTTTCTTCTATTTCCTGAAGGCCTGAGCTTATCTTCATTATCTGACACTCTGATATCTTAGGTGGGATCTGTCTCCCTCCCCTCCTCCAGGGTCATGTGTGAACAGCAAGCTAGACCCAGCAGCCAGCCAGGAAATGGCCTGGTAGAAGTTCATGGAACTTAGCAGAAGACAGCGTCTGGAGGGCAGGGCAGTACACCCCGCCCTCCGAGGCTCTCACCTTGTTGTTGGCCAGGTACAGGTAGTTGAGGTTGGTCAGATGCTCAAATGCCTCCTCCGGGAGCCCTTCAAAGGACAGGTCAGAGCCCTGGATGAAGGAGACGCTGCAGGGAAGCACGCGAGCCACCCGACCCTCGCCCTACCCACCACTTGCCTGGACGGGGAGACAGGCCACTCAGATCCCTTCCTGGTCAGTCCCAACAGGCCTTCCCAGCCCCACTTCCTTTCTCCTTGCTCACGTGGCCCAAGCACAGGAGCAAGCAGTTAAGTGCGTGCTGAGGGACTGAAGGATGAAGTAGCCTGACCCTTTCAGCCAGGAAGGAATGTTCCCCTTGGGATGGCCACAGATGTCAGAGCCTCTCTTAACACCCAGACCCCTCCACTGGTGGGGGGACAAGCTGGGACAGCTCCGTGTAGGGCAGGGCTACCACTTCTGGATCTTCCAGCCACCTGGCTTGCCCCTGCCCCTCTGACAGATGTTGTGTTGCTGGGAGCCCAGCCAGGCTGGCCCCTCTCCAGCCCTAAGGCCAGACTCCGACACTCAGTTCTAAGCTCCAGGACCCCCAGATGCTGGGACTTGCCCAAGTTTTTAATGAGAGGGAACAGTTACATAAACCCTGGAGTGTCCCTCCACGGATACCCGGCTGGTGTAAAAGGCCGGCCAGCAAGAGCTGCAGCAACATGGGGAACACCACCAGGCAGACTGCTCAGAGAGGCTGATTATCACATCTGAAGTAGGATTCAGCGATGAATTGAAAAACACTAGGGAAAAAAATGACTGGATTGTGAGATGGTTGGACATCTGCATAAACTTACTAGAACTCATCAAATTGTACCATTAAGTTGGGTTCACCTTATGGTATATAAATCACACCTCAATAAGGCTGTTTTAAAATTGGAAAGAAATATACCAAAATGTCGATAGTGATTAATTCAAAGTGGCAGAACTGTACGTGATTTTTTCTTTCCACTTTTATTTTCTAAGTTTTCTATCCTAATCACATACCATTTTTGTCATCAGAAAAAAAACAAAGCTTGAGTTATGGCTCTTTGTTTTGTTTTTGACTGCTCTTAGATTCTAAAGGCCCCTGTGAATGGAAGAGTCTATGATAAGGTCCTGGGAAGCTTGGCTACTCCAAAGCCCCACCCCAACCCATGTCCCAGGTCTCAGAAAGACCTACAGCTGGCTTTCAGGCAGCATCACGGAGCCCCTGGAACATGTGGAGCCCATCCTCACCAGCCTCACTACCAACCCAGCCCAGCCCTACTCCTCCACACCCCAGGATCTGCAGGACCAAGCTTTCCCCATGGATACTCAGCAATGCCCAGGCCCCTGAGTCCCCACCTGGTGTCCCATGGCTCTGGTGACCCCTCACCTCTGGAAGTCAGGCGATTGTTCTGGAGGTTCAGAGTCTCCAGCCGCTGGAGCCGAGAAAGCTCCTCAGGATAGATCTTCTCCAGCTGATTGTTCTAGAAGTGGAAGGGGGCAGTGAGGAAGCAGCATCAGTCTGGAGGGGTGCTGCATGGGACTCCTGTACTTATCCTTAGTCCCAGTCCTGGGAGCCAGTTCCTTTCTTGGGCATCTGTCTTGGCAAACAGAATCTTTGGCTCATATGGGTACTGGGGGCACAACAGTGACCACAGAGATGTATGAGCCTTTCAAAGGACCCACAGGTATGGGTAGGGATGTAGCTCAGTGGTAGAGCACGTGTCTAGCATGCACTGAGACTCCAATCCCAAGAACAGGGGTGGGGGAGAAGGAACCCACATGTAGACATCTACAGACAGCTGTTCATGCTTAGTGGGCTATCTGCCCTCTAGACCCACCCCCTGGGTATTTCTACTTGGTGACAGGCATCCATAGCTGTTCCCCAAGCAGAAACCACTTTGCTTTCCTTTCTAAGCCCCATGGACCCCTCTCCTCTTAGAACATTATAAAACCTGGGTCATTTTCCACCTTCCCCAGCCTTCCTAGGTTGAACTGGGGCTGGATTAGGAGCCTGCTCTGGGCACCACAGTGGGAGTCCTTTTTGTGCGGTTTCTCTGTTTTGGTCTCTACCTTGCCCATAGACTGTGAGCTCCTAAAGGGCAGGGCATGTCCAAGTCCTCTGTGCCCACCATCCCACGCATGACCGGAAGTGTAGAGCAGGAACCCAAAAGATAGTCTATATGTGAATGAGTAAGCGAACCTATGTAAGAGTTGTCCTCTACTTGTCTCTTCTTATTACTGGCCACCCTGGCCCAGGACTCACAGCTGCCAGGACTCTACAAGTCTAATCTGCCTTGTACCCTGAATCTAGAGACAGGGAGCATCCCTCATGATCACTGGCACATCAGCCTCACCTGCAGGGACAGATGGTTGGTGTGCTCAGGCAGGTCCCCGGGGAACTCACGCAGGTCGATGCCACCACAGTCCACAACACCCTCCTGGGAGCAGGCACAGTCTCGGGGACAGTCAACAGTAGCTGGGCCAGGCCCTGGCTCCTCGGGGCTTAGGACCAGCACAGGCTCCTCCTCCACAAATTCATTCTCCTCAGGGCTCAGACTGTGGGTGCTGCTTCGGCCAAACATTGGGGCCCTCACTGCGAGCACAGGTCCCAGGTGTAGCTGTGGTGGCAACAGCAGCAGGAGCAGCAGTGCCCTGCTCTGGGCCATGGTACCTGGGGGAGGTGCTGAGTCAGGCTTTCCTTGGTGTCAGGGCTGACTTGGCCTGTGAGATGCACTGGGCACAAGGCCTGGGCCCTCAAAAGACATGACAGGGCCTGCTGTGGCACAAGGCAGGACCCACTCTGGTTCCCGTCCTCGGCACCCTGCTGTCCTGCCACCCTTCCCTCCCCACCTAACCTCCATCGGGGCTGCCCTCTGGAGGGGTGGGGTGAGGTGAAGAGACGAGACCCTGTCCCCAGGCAGTTCTGCAAAAGCTTCTTCAACCCTCAGCAGGTTGGGTCCTAAGGAATTGTATCCCCATCTCACAGAAAAGAAGATGAAGCAGGATCTGAACTTTGCTAAGCCCCTGCTGCCCTGGCACCAGTAGTGTAGGGAGCCACTGTCCCTCCTCCAACAGCTGCAAGCCATGGTGGTCCAGGATCAGCAGTTGTATCCCAGAGCTTCAGCTAGCCATTCAGGATCTTTGGGACTTGACCCTGCCTCTCCCACAACCATCCCAGTTACACAAACTCCAACCTTTGTACATTGCTGTTCCTTCTACCCCGAATGCCCTTCCCCTCTCTTGTCCAATCAGTAGTTTCTTTTCTAAGAACCAACTCTAAATGCTATGATGAGGGGGAGATTCCAAGATGGTCCAGGGCTTGGTTGACTTGGGTTGTGTCTTTGTCACACATGGGGCTGTGAGCAACTCCCAGTGTCTGTTGTAGACGGAGCACAAAGCCTAGCACAGAGGAGGCCTCAGTGAGGGGAGCTGCTGCTGCCCTGTGACCCCATCCCATTCCAGTGTTCACACGCTCGGCTGCCCTCACCAGAGCCTAATGGGCTCACAGAGCCGTTGCCATACTCAGGAGGTCCCTCCCCAGCATGGTCCCCTGTTGCAGAAAGGAGAGGGTGCAGACTAAGGAAGAAGCTGGAGTGCCACTGTCCCAGCAGTGCCGAGACCTGGGCTTGACTTAGATCTGGGTTTCTGAGTCACTGTGACAGGAACTCAGAAATGTCAATGTCACTGGGATATGGTAAGCTCTGTCAGGTGATAGGGAACACAGACCCCAGTTTGAGTCCCATCTGCACCATTTAGGGGCTTGGACCTCACTGAGCCACCACTTCCTTATCTGTACCGTGCAGACGATATGTCTAAACACAGAGCCCTGCACTTGTCAGGTGATGAAGAGCTGCCATTGCTACGTACCGAGTGGCACAGCGACTTGCCCCAATAAATGGGCAGGGGGTGCAGGAACAAGTGTCTAGGCCTCAGCACATCCAAGCCAAGGGCTGGGGCCCAAGTCTGCTTAGGTCACATGGACCAGTGGGTAGTCAAGGAGGCCTGGCTGCCCCACTTTCCTCATACCTCCTCGGCCTCATCTTCCTTGGGGCCCCTTTATGCTCCCATCCCAGTCTGGAGCAGGGTAGCCACAAGCACATGGCCCAGTAAAAGCTCCCATGGCAACATCAGGGTTATAAGGTTATGACCAGAATTTGGGCCTGGGAGAGTTTGGGAAATGGGGATACAATCACACAGATGGCCGAGTGGGCTTTGCAGGCACACAACCAGGGCTGTCATCTCAGCTCTGGTCCTTAACTGTTGTGTGACGTCAGGCAACTTTTTTTTTTTTTTTTTTGGTATCAGGGATTAAATTCAGGGACACTTGACCTCTGAACCACATCCCCAGCCCTATTTTTTATTTAGAGTCTCACTGAGTTGTTTAGTGCCTCACCTTTGCTAAGGCTGGCTTTGAATCTGCAATTCTCTCTCGTCTCAGCCTCCCAAGCCACTGGGATTACAGGCATGTGCCACCACATCCAGCTTCAGGAAAGTTTTGAAACAGTCTAAACCTTAGCTTCTCATCTGTCTTTGGAATGATACCAGAACTGCCATCATGGGAGACTGAGAGTGTCAGCGAGATGCACACACTGCACACGGTAAATGCTCAATAAAGTTCAGTCCTCCCTGTCACTATTCATATGCTCCATGGTGTAGTTCGTTCCCAGCCACACCACTGCCCACTCCAGAATCCCCTGCTCCTCCCTCCCCTTGTCTAGACCTCACCTGGGCTTTTTGGTCAGAGAAGCCCACCTGCTCTCAGAAGATGTTGCCAACATGCTGGCCATCTACAAAATCCAGCCCTGCAGCTGGCTGCTATGGATTTCAGATACAGCTTTGCAATCCTCATTGGCTCAGCCAATTCTCCAAGGTGAGGCTTGTCTGCACCCAGCCTGACACTGGGTGCTGGAGACACAGGTGAAGGTAGATAAAGTCCTGCCTTCTTTTGCAGGAAGCAATGGACCCCAATACCAATAACCACTTCCTACCCATATTGGGATGGCAGTGCAAAGGGATCCCTTGGATGACAAGTCCTAGAAGGAAAAAACATGAGGAGAGAGAAGAGCCGGGACTCCTTCACCCATAGGTCCACTTGTCCAGGCAGACTTGGGTCCCAGCCCCACAGTCAGGCAGAGAACAAGGGAGCCCAGCACATACCCAGCTCCTGGGCTCAGTTGGCAGCAGTGAGTGACACCTGTCTGGACCCATGCTCACCCTGCCTCCTCTCTGCTGCCTCAGTGCCTTCACCAAATGCCAGTCCACAGACTGCCACTCCCCTGGCTCACTATGAACCCTACAGCTGGCTCCAGAGCCTTCAGCCCAGGAGCTGCCAGCACTAGACTGAGGCAAGCCTCCCCTCCCTGCTGTCTGACCCCACCACAGACAAGGTCCCTGGGAGAGGGGTGCGGGTCCAAGCCTGGGCCCTAAATTCACTCAGGGCAGGAGACCAGGGACAAAGGGTCTAGGGGAAGGAGCTCAGGTGCCTCATACCTTGTACACTGACTGGATAGTCTGGTCTTTCTCCCTTATCTTCTGTTTGTGTCTAAAAAAAATCTGTAAATTACATCTATACAAATATTTAATTTATATTAGCATTCTGAACCATACTGAAAATGTTTCCATCACTTCACAGATAGGGGAGCTGAAGTCCATGGGGGTCAGCCATTATAATAGCTGTTAAGTGGTCAAGCTGAGCTCCCAGCCTATGTCTTCAGGGCTGTCTTGTGCTGCTCTGCCTGGGACAAGCCCAGCTGGGTGCAGCCTCCTCCCCTTAGAGGCTCACACTGTCCCCTCTAGTAGCCACTTGCCACATGTGGCACTTAAAATGTGGCTAGTCCAAAGTGAGCTGCGCTGTAAGTATAAAATGTAGTATATGTGGATTTCAAAGATGTAGTAAAAAAAAAGAATGTAAATATATATAATTTCACATTTATTTTTATACCTATTACAGGATAATACTTTGGACATATTAAACAAAATTAAACTTGCCTATTTCATTTTACTTCTTTAACATGGCTTCTATGTTGCATTGCATTTGTGGCTTGCAATTCTATTAGATAGTGCTGACCTAGAGCTTTATGTGTAAACTGAGTCTGATGATCCCAGTATCTTCAGGGATAGGATGGAGGGACGCTTAAGAGAACATAGGGGACCAGGGGAAGCCTCATATTGCTAGAGGTGGCTTCCCAGAATTGAAGCCTGGTCTAGCCATTCTGAAGGATGAATATCAGGCCAATGGAAAATAAGGCAAGGGTGGGGCCAGTGTGTGTGAAGGCCTGGAGCAAGAGAGTCCATGCTGTGCACTAGATCTACAAAGCTCACTAGACTGTCTGGTGACAGGTGGGGACTGGGAGTGATATGGGTGGAGGCAGTGGACACAGGTCTAGGCCAGGTAAGGCCAGGGAGTATGAGCCTTATCTCTGGAAGATGGGCTGTGGAGGGACAGGGGTGTGGCAAGCAGGCTAGGGGTGGCTTGTGAGGCTGTGAATGGCACAGGGGAGAGAAAACAAGCTTACCCTGGGTAGAGAGGGAGGTGCTGGGCTTCAGGGATGGAGAGGAGGAACTGGATTCCATGGAGAGGTAGGAAGAATAGTCATGTCTTGAAGAGTGGTGGCTGCAGTGGCACCTCCTTGTCCTCCACTTTCCAAGCCACCCTCAGGACTATGGAAGCCTGGGCAGCTCCAGCTCTACTACTTGATTTGCTGTGTGACCTTGGGCATACCATGACCCATCTGAGCTTCAATTTTCCCATCTGTTCTTATAAGAATGTTGAGCAAGGTAAGCCCCCAAGGCTCCTTCTGAGTGCCTGGCCACATTGGAAGAGCAGTAGAGAAGCAGACCCCGGGTCTCCAAGAGCTTCAAGTCTACCTGGGGAGGGACAACTCAAACCCTTAAAGCAGCTTAGTCTATGGCAATCTCTTCCTTGGGTGGAGAACATTAGACATAGGGGAACACAGGTCCTAACCTGACTGCTGTGTGAGCCCAGAGGACTCACTTCACTGCTCTGAGCCTCCATTTACAAGCCGAGGAAACAGAAGGAGCTACTCCCCAGGATTAAATGACAGGATGGGCCCTGCCTGATGCTGGCACCAAGTAGGTCTTCCATACACAGGGTCACTATTACTGAGTAAGTAACTGGCACATGCTGCCAACCAAACCTCAAGGCCAGAAGTGGGGGTGGGGTTAAGGCAGAACTAGAAAAGAAGAGGGAAAGGCCAGGGGGCAGATCCTGGGCCCCCAGAACCACCTTTTTCCTCCATTCAAGGTCAGTGAAGTAAATACTCAGTGATCACCTACCTGCTCTGTTCTGAGCCAGACAGCAACATCTTACTGATGCTACCTTCCTAGTTTGCAGGTTCAGAACTCAAACACAAAGGGGACCCCACTGCTGCCCATCCCCGGAAATCTCCTCCTCAAATTCCCCTACTCTGGATAGCCTCTTTTGCTCCCTCCTCTAGGTTAGGGTGCTCCCTGGGTGCTCTCACAGCACCCTGCCAGCTTGGTCCTTGGAAGCTCAGTGAAGCCTCCTGTGACTCCCCAGACATGAAGTGGGTACTCAGAAATATGTTTGTTGAATGAATGAATTTGTGAAGGGCAGAACTGGAAAAGATTTGCAATATTATCTGGTCTGACTCCTCAGTTTACAGATTAGTATGTTAAAAACAAAGCCAGGGGGCTGGGGTTGTAGCTCAGTGGCTGTAGCTCAGTAGCACAGCACTTGCCTAGCATGCGTAAGGCACTGGATTTCATCCTCAGTACCACATTAAAAAATAAAACAAAGACATTCTGTCTATCTACAACTACAAAAATAAATAAATAGATAGATAGATAGATAAGTAAATAAAACAAGGCCAGGGCTAAAATTTTTCTTAAAGGTTGAGTAGGAGTTCTCCAAGTAATTAAAGGGAAGGCACTCCAGGCAGATGAAAGGGCATGAGCAAAGGCAAGGAGTGGGGATGGAGGAAGAGGGAGGTGTGTTTAAGGAGAATCCATAGGAATAGAAGTTGGGGCTAGGGGCAGGTTGCCAAGAGCATCGGCCACTATGCAAAGATTATGGTGATAGGGAGCTATCATGGGTTCCAAACAGATGGTGATCAGCGATCTTATACATGATTCCACCCGGCCTAAAGGCTCCACCATTAGCAACTTCTTCCCTTCCCAAGATTCAGACAGAATGGACAAAGTATGCAATATCATTATGAAAACAGTCATGTGAATCTGACACTTCTTAACTTCCACTCTAGACTAGGAGTAGACTGAACCCCAGCGTGGACAGGAACACTCAGACCAGCCACAGATCCTTGCCAGGACAGCCCACAGACTATTTTGAGTGGTGGGCTTTTCTACCTTGGAGTGCTGTGAGCCCGGGATCTGGATGGGCCCCCTCCTACCTGGCTTTGGCCTTCCAAAGGCAGAGCGCAACTTCATCTTCCCTAGCCGGCCCAAAGCCAAAGGGCCAATGCTCAGGTCTGGTATACTGGTCCCTATGTACTTTCAGACTGCTGACCATCAGCGGTCGGTGCCGCAGCAGCACGGGCCCGAGAGATCGCCCCTGCTGCAGTACCTCCTTCAGGCTGCCGCTACCTCCCAGCTCCAGCCCTGGACGCAGCCGGGAGCTTGCTGCCGCCACCACCTCCTCTTACACCTGACGGTGCGTCAGGTATTCCAACGCCTCGCTCTCAGGCCATGCTTGTGGCTCGGGGACCCACAACCTGGGGCTTCCGCTGCATTCGCTGTAAAGTGCGGACCTTGCTCCTTGCTTTCCCTTCTTCCTGCTCCTACCTCTGTCCCGCTGTCCTGACCGGGAATCAGCCGCCTAGACAGATTGAGTCCAGGCTCCCCTAGTGCGCGGCGCTGGGCTGGTGCGGCACAGGGGCGCAGAGCCGAGCCCCACAGGACCCCGAGGCAGGCGCGCGGGGTGCGCCCCACCTGTCGACTTGCCTTAGGGGCATATTTCTCCATCTTTCTGGGCCTCAGTTTCTCGGTCAGTAATGAGGCTGGAGTCTGGGCCCAGCGGAACCTGAAGAAAAGACGCCGGGATATTCTGGGCCCGGGCTTTAAATATAGGGGTCCGCATCCCTCTCGAGTTCCACCTGCCCCCACATTCCCAGTCTCCTCCTGCGTCCTTCCACTATCTCCCTCCGCCCCATCCGCTCACAGATTCTTTCCAGATGTGCGCAGCAGGAGGGGCCTGGGGTCTAGGACTAGCCTGACCAGAGAAAAGGCCCCTCCCTGCCCAGGTCGGGATGGCTCAGGAGTCGCACCCGAGGGGAAGATCTGCGGGTCTGCCTTCCTGCAGGCTCCGAC